CTTGGCTATAAAGACCTTTTAGAAATGTTTACATTTTCATTTATCGAATTTCTGAATTTGCTGAACTGCTTCCAAAAAAAAAGCTTTTGCCCTCCCACTCTAAGTTCAACTACTTTTACTTCGGAGTATTTATTTCTTAAACCAAAATTTCTTGGTAATTTTCAAAAGAGGTTTAGCGGGGTGGTACTTGCAGTTATGAAAGACTTCTCAGACAGAAAAACATATATGTATTTATATACATATATACATATGTATATGATTTTATTTACTTTTAAATGTAAGTTACGGAAGTATAGGAATATTATGGATATCAGATTCAGATAAACAATAAAACAGTAACAGTAATTAAGCAAACTATTTATTTAGCAAACATATGTACGTTTATAGACTCATAGTTAAAGCAAAAGACACTTTGATGTCTGCAGTTTAAATTGTAATTAGAAACAGCTTTCGTCACACATGCTTAGATACGTACAGCACTTTGATTATAGTGTATATTCATTTGCCTTTTGCGAAGCGCGTTTCAAATGTTGGCAAATATTCTCTCAGTTTTGTTTATCTATTTTCATTGCGACATACCAATAGATGAGGTGGGCGAGGGAAGAGCGGGAGGGGGTATGGGCGAGACGGATGAAAAATACTTGAATTAATATAAAAATAAAGCTGAAGAGCTTGCCACAAAATAACTAAGGTAAAAATATATACAGCCAAAGACAATTGTGTGCAAAAATAAATGATGAGAGACAGAGACAACTGAGAAATTACAGATGAAAATTGAAAAGCCAAAAGCGAATACCGATGAGAATACAAATTAAATACATAATTTAAAAAAAAACTTTCGTTTTCTCACAAAAAAAAAAAAGAAGACGAAATGTGAATTTCACGCTTTAAGGATTGAAATGTTGAATAGTTTAATTAACTAATAAAAAACACCAAGCTCATGTGCTCAGTCATACACGCTACAAACTCAGCCAATCAGTCCATCAGTCATTCAGCCAGCCCCTCAATCAGCCAGTCCAAGTCAGTCAGTCAGTCAATCATTAAATCAGCTCAGCTCCCCGCTCCCCATTCTCTACCTCTACCACATATATCCAAGCTCATTTGGTATCCTTTCTATAAGAATTTATCGACTTCTCATACATTTCGATTGCGCCAGCCTTTGTCTTCTCGTGTATTTTGGCCATGTGCATGTGTTTGTGTTCTTTGTTTTTGTTCATTTCTCTTTAACAATTTGTGTACTGCGATCATGTTATTTATGTTTTTCTGTTTAGATTTATGCGCACATTTTTATGCATCAAGTATTGAGTTGATTTGATTCTTGATTTGAAATTGGATTTTGCTTTTCTGTTCAATTCAATTCAATGTCGCTGACATGCGATGCAGCGATCAATGACAAAAAAAAAAAAAAAGAAGAAAAAAAAAAACAAAACAAAACCGAAATCGAATATGTTCTATCATACAAACCTTTTTGCAGATTTTTGATTTTGTATCCCCATCATCACCACCACCACCACTACAACAACAACAACAACAACAAAAAGAACAATAAGAACAAGAACAAGCACCACCACCAACAACTACAACAACAACAACAACAGGTAGAAAAAGAACAAGCACATCAACTGCGTCAAGTGCGACGATGGCTGCCATAAATACGGTAAGTACGCGCAAAGCAACGCCAACAACAACAAGAAACAACAGCAAAAGCAACAGCAACTGCAACAACAACAACAACAGCAATAATAAGCCCGTTTGTGTGCAATCATTCATAAGGCACAATAAATTAAGCACACACACATACAGTTACACATAGCTGACTGTGTGAGTGTGTGTGTGTAGTCGTACGTATTTATGTCTACGTCTGGCGAATTGCAACACAAATAACATTTATTTATATAATCGACTTGGTCAACATTGCGTATGCGTAATATCACGCATACGCCAAGAAAACTCACACACACGCATACATGCACACACATGCTCACATGCGCACTGCATAAATAATCATCAAGAGGCAATAAAATATTTAAAATTAAAGCTAATCAAATATTAGAATCATAAAATTACGTATACGCCGTGTCAGACACGCTCGAAAGGCTGAGCGGGCTCCAAAGCACACATAAATTCAACAGCTGAAAGGCAAATTCATAAACATTTGCCAATTCAAATAAACATAAAGAGTTCAGCAGTCTTCCGACTTGGACTTGGTTGATGAATTGCTTATGCTTATTGACGCCGACGCCGCTGACGAGGAAGCCATTCTAGTAACAGTTGGGAGCGGTCGGTGCCGGGCCGGGGCCGGGGGTGTGCCCAAACATGTGTTTCGGCTCATTTTACTAATAAGCAAGACCCGATGACAAATTGCCGCCCAAAGTATTCAATTTGATGTTGACATTTTATGAATATCTCAGCCGGTATCTGAATCTGGAGGGAAATGCGCCTGTAAGACAACTGCTAAAATATCAGACCTCGATATGGGGGCAGCCAAGCAGCGTTCACACCTTGCGCTCGCGCTCGGCTTTTTGATTCCTGTTGCCTCCACGTTTTGGACGCCAGTTTCGACTTGTTGAAGGTCTTTCTTTCTTTTCTGCTTTGGAATGACATTGACAGCTGATTGACATATGAATCACGCTGTAAAAATATACACAGACGCATCACACTCATGCGGCATGGCACAGCACAGGTGGCGATGCTGCCACCTCGTGTCGTAACAGGATGTGCCGTCATGTTTGGCGGCTGGTGGCATTTGTTGTATCGCCTGTCTGCCAGTGCTGTGAGAGAAAGATAGCGGGAGAGAGAGACAGAGAGAGAGAGAGACAGGTGGAGAGAGTGTGTAGAGGTAGAGACATGCTGGTCGAGACTTTTGTTTTGTTATTTTTTACCAGTTTATACAATCTCATAAACTTTTGAGCCCTGCCAAACGATAATAAATTATTCATAAATTCGGTTAGCCAAAGTTCTCGACTACAAGATACCCTGCGCGCCTTATGCATATAAATAATAATATGTATATAAATATAAGTGTTCATATAAATAAATATTAATAATTAATTTAACATTCAATCAATTATTTTGTAAAAAAAAATATACAACAAATACAAAAATAATA